CATAGAATACGTGAAGCAGGTTCAAAGGGACTACCAAGATACTAAGAAGTCTATCGAAGACTGGCATAACAGCTTGAAAGAAACTAAGGACAGACTATCTGAACTGGAGGGCAGACTTGTAATATGGGAGAATGAAATGAAAAACTTCTTAAAAATAACAAAGAAACAAACAGCAATAATACAAAGACAAGAAGATGATAAGAGGATCCATAACTTAAGGATTAAGAACATAAAAGAAGAAGTAGGGATGCAAACAAGTGAACTACAAAAGCTACTCACAGAAATAATCCAGGAGAATTTTCCTAACTTAGCAAAAGGTAAAGATACTCAGATGTATGAGGCATACAGGACCCCAGCTACCTACAACCCAAACAGAGCAACACCCAGGCATATAATAATAAAAATTCCAGAAATTCAATACAAGAACAGAATATTAAAAGCTGTAAGAGACAAGAAACAGACCACTTACAAGGGAACACCCATCAGAATTACAGCAGATTTCTCTGCACAAACCATCAAATCACGAAGAGCGTGGGGGGAAATAATTCAAGCATTGAAAGATAATAATCTCCAGCCAAGATTGAGATATCCTGCACAACTGTCCCTGGAAATTGATGGAAAAACAAGGTGCTTCCAGGATAAAGAGGAACTGGGGGAATTTGCAACCACCAATTCAACTCTACAGAAAGTATTGCAGGATATTCTAAAAAAAGAAAAATACAAAGAACCCAGAAATAGTGGCGGGGAGGCCACAACAAATGGAGCAGAGAACAAAATGAAGAAGACAAACTGACAGCTACTGACAGAAAAAGAGCTTAACAGAAATGAGGCAGAGAAGATTGGATGATAGGAACAGCTATTTTGGAGAAAATGACATCTTAATAGGTAATACTGATTTAGTATCATCTTGTTTTGAAGTCTCATCTAGCTTTTGTCCTTCTGTCTCCAATGGTCTAAATAGGCTGTATCTTATTGGATTTTATTATGTACGATAGTATAAGCAAAAACCTTTTAAAGACAAGGCGATTATACAGAAACCATTGTTCATTTTCTGTTAGTCGATTCTAAATACTCTGTAATGCTGTCATTCTCTTGAATGGTTTTACATTGTTTTGATATACTTAATACTACAGTATACGAAGTTGTACTCAAGGATTTCAAAGAAAGAAACAATATGGTAACTACTTTTAGGTTAGGATTATCTGGTGGTGAAACACTATTCTGCTTAAATGGTTATGTTTTGATCTGCGCTGTTTCGTTGTTATGCCCTCTTTTATCTCAATCTCCACTCCATTATTTACTTTTTTATCTTTATCCTTTTAATTAAAGGAAAAAAATAGCAGGATATATTATAGTAACCCATTTTGACTTTTCATTACCTTGATTCAAAGCCCTGTATTACTCTCACCATCTGGTTTTTAACTGATGTTCCCCTATTCTGTTTTGCTGGATAGTATCAGGTTCGAAAGTTTAGGCATCAGCTGTGAAGATAATGAGATTCATTATGACACCCATTCTTGTTGACTTTTAGCTACTTTTGAAGACCTACAATGTCTCCAATGTTTTGGTTTTGTCGGTTTTATTCTTTACTGTTTTGTTCAATTGTATTATAACTAATGATATAGGCAATTCTATTAGAGATAGCGGGAGACATCATGGTAACCATTGTTGATCACCTGTATTATGTTTTTACATTATCTATTATGTCCACCCTTTTGACTTGACCGATTCTGTTCTGTTATGTCACATTTGGTTTTACTCTCTTCCAAAAAAGTAATAAGAACCGTGGGAGCAATGAAACCCAAAATGTGTAATAGTCATGGTACAAAAGAGAGGAAAAGAAAGTACTCTAAACTATATAACTGCATGTATATTTAAGTGTATAAGATAGAAAATGATATCACAGAGTTTTATTGGATCAATGAACAGAACTGTTTGCAGTATCATTGATGGAATGTCCACTTTACAAGCTTTAATTTTGTGACTTGAACAGTTATTTCTAAGATGACAATATGTAATCCATTAACTAGTGATTTCCTACTGTTCATTTTTTTTCTGTAAATCTGTATAACTTGTACCCTTTCCCTGCTTTTTTTTTTTTCTTTTCTCCTTAAATAAAAAAAAAAAAAAAAAAAAAAAAAAAGAATGGTTTGTGCTCATTGTGTTGACCAGAAGGAGATCGGCAGACTGAAGAAGGAAGCGAGGTGTGGGAGCTCATGTCTGTAATTTCAGCTACTTGCAAGGCCTGGGCAGAAGGATAGAAAGTTGAAGGTAGCCTGAGCAATTTAGCAAGACCCTGTCTCAGAATTTAAAAAACTGAGAATGTTCTTGGTGATTTGGTGCTTGCCCAGTATGCACAAGTCCCTGGGTCTAATGCACAGGACTGCACAAAACTAAAGTAGAGGTAGCCACTGTTATTTACATTTGAGTCTTTCTTTGTTTCTTTGTTTCTTTTTTTTTTTCTGAGACAGGGTCTCACTGTGCACATCAGGCTGGCCTTGCACTTGCTTGGTAGCCCAGGCTGGCCTCAAACTCACTGGGGTCCTTGTTCCTCAGTCTTGGGATTACAGGAATTTCCTACTATGCCTGGTTCTTCCTACATTTGAGAATTTTTTTTAACAGTGCTGGGAATTGAACCCAGGGCCCTGTGAATGTTAGACAAGACAAACTGTTAAGCACGAAGTTACATCTTTAACCTTTCTTGTAGCTTTCCCCCCCTTATTCTTTTCTATACCTATAAATCTGTGTGTCCATGTGAACACTTGTATCCATTTATATAATATACACAGATACTGTTTTTGTATAGGATTATGTCATTTCTACACTACTGCAGTTTACTCATTTGATGTTTTTGTTTTCCCTTTGTTAGATGTTGGAGTAGCTGAGTTTTAAATTGCCTTATTGTCCTCTAGCAGATGGATATATTATAATGCATTCATCCACTGTCACTATTAAATGCCCTTATTTTTGTGAATATTACTGTGTTCCCATGGTATGTATCTAAAGTCTTTAGAATAGAAACCTAGAAGAGGAATGACTGAGTCAGGGGCTACCAACATTTCCCAGGTTTTTGATGTATCTGCCAAACTTTCAGACTTGCCTCAGTCTGTGCTGTGAGTACCCGGCTGTTTTATTGCTCTCTTTACCTCTCCTGTCATCTGTGTTCCCCGTCCTGAATGGCCTCCCTCCTCTGCTCTTCCTTTGAACCTATGTACTGGTGTGTGGATCTCACATCCCTGCAGCCTCATCCCTTCCCAGACCCGTCTGCCTTCTGTGATAGCAGTGTTCTCTGACTCCCCCACCTGAACATTCCAGCCGTTTGCCTCTGCACTCATTTGTCATGCTCAGACCATCTTTCCCACATCAGGGGCTTTCAGATTCTAGTGTGTATCAGAATCATGCGGAGGGCTTGTAAAAACATGGGCTGTTAGCTGCCGCGGGTGACATCCACCTGTAATCCCAGCTGCCAGCCTGGCAATTTAGTGAGATCTTGTTAAAAAGAAAAATCCCCAATGCTGAAACAAAACACAGGTCCTAGGGTGCTGCCCTGGAGCTCTCTTTCAGCAGATTTGAGATGGGCTGAGGATTCGCACTTCCACACCTGGCCGCTGGAGCAGAGGCACCTGCGTGACACCTGCTATGAGGAATCTCTCGTGGCTCTTTGCTCTTTTCCCCACATGGGGCTTCTGTAGTAGATCGTGGCCATCTGCATTGGAAAGCCCAGGTCAGGCTGCCTGAAACACAAGCAGAGTCCTGTCCTTTGTCTACTCCAAAGCCTCAGGCTTCTGCCTTATAGCCCTGACCCCTGTGTTGAGCTGGATTTGTTTCTGTTTCTGGTGGCAGTAATGGGACGGAGCCCAGGGCCTTGAGGTCTAGCTGAGGACTCCACCTCTGAGCCCCAGCTCCAGCCCCAGGTGTGGTCCAAATTCTTAGTGTTCTTCTCCAAACACAGCCTGCACCACGCCTGGGTTGAGCTGCTCAGGAGTCTTGTTTGGCTTTTGAGTTTGTACCTTTATTTGTGCTGCTTTTCTCTGTTGAAAATTGTCTTTGCTCTTTTATAGTCCTTCAAGAATTCAAATAGAGGCTTCCACAAACCACTCCTTTTTTTTCTGTTTTTTTTTTTTTTTTTTTTAAAGTACCAGGGATTGAACCCAAAAAAGTATTCCAAGAAATGAATGGGTTCAATCCCCAGCCCCTTTTATCTTGAGGCAGAGTCTTACTATTTTGCCCAGGCTGACCTAGAACTTGTAATCCTCCTGCCAAGCTTCCTGAGAATTTGGGACTTCAGATGTGTGCCCCATGCATTCTTGATCCTCTTCTCATTCTTTTTCTCTCATTTGTCCAGCCTTTAGCTTGTGCCGCTATCCCACTTTGGTGCCACATGTGACTCATTCCCATGTAACGTTTTATGGGAATCATTTCCTGTCTCCTAACAGATGGTAAATTTTCTGAGGACAGGGGCTGTCTTATTTTCTGTTTGTCTGCCCTGCAGTCTGCTTTGTGCCTGGTAAGCACCTGCATACAGATGCTTTGTGGTAGGACTTGTGTAAGGACCACAGGTGGGCTCTGGGGCCATTCCTCCTCCAGGGTATGGGGAGCCCAGGGCTTTCATGTCTTGAATGACCCCATGTGAGATGGGTGTGGATTAGCTGTCTATACAGCACACAACCAACAATCCTCGAGTAGGAATTCAGAAGGACTTGTGGTTAAAAAAACATTTTTGATGGTGGTAATCGATTTTTTGTTGTTGTTGAGATAGGGTCTCAGTATGCAGTTCAGGTTGGCCTTGAGATCATTTTGTAGCCCAGACTGGCCTCAGAGTGATCCTCCTGCTTCAGCCTCCTGAGTGCTGGGATTTATAGGCATGCGCCACCACACCTGGTTTTGTAATACCAAGTTTATGTTCACATGAACTCTCTGAAGGGAAGCATGTGGCCTGGGGGCGGGAACAAACATGACTTCCAAGCCACATTTGTGGTTTTTGTTATTTTTAAAAACAGGGAGCTCGTGGCCAGGGCAGACGAGGGAGTGGCAACCCCAATGAGTGGAGGGGCTGGCCGACTCCGATTTTTCTCCATGAAGAGGACAGTGTCTCAGCAGTCATTCGATGGTGTCTTGCTGGATAATAGTGGCCCTGAAGACCGGATTTCGGTGGACAGTGATGGCAGCGATAGTCTCGTGATGCTCCTGGAGTCTGGTAAGTTGGGGGCAAAGCTGTAACCGCTGGAAAGGCCTGTGTCTGCTACTGGTCTTCAAACTCGCAAGACTTAGGTGGGGCTGAGACGTGATAAACAGACTTCTTTAAGTACCAGAGTTTGCAAACCTGAGCCTTGGTGTAACAAGCTATATCCCTAGCCTCTTTTTATATTTTTTGTCTCAGTCTTTTTTTTTTTTTTTGGTACCAGTGATTGAACTCACGACTGCATGCTTGCAAGGCAGGTGCTTATGCCGCTGAGCTAAATCCCCAGCCCTTTTTTTTTTTTTTTTTTTGAGATATGGTCTCATTGAATTGCACAGGTTGGGTTTGAATTTGTGATCCTTCTGCCTCAGCCTCCCAGAATGTAGGGATTATAGGTGTGTACCAGCATGCTCTGTAGACATTTTGTTATCAAAACAAAGATGACAGTGAGAAAGTATAGTAGATCTGTGGCTCTGGATTTATCTCCACATTTTCTAGGTTCTTGGCTCATACTTGACCTCTATCACAGGAAGGGATTAGAAGCAAAGGAAAAATTACCAATCTTACAGCCACAGATTAATGTCAGTAGGGCTGATTTTATACTGTTGTTTGATATCAGTTGTACAACTGTTCGTTGTCTGGGTTTCTCATTTGCTCGCTTGCTTGCTCTTTTTCTGCTTATATATTTTATTGTGGAAAAAATAACTCATTTTTTATTGAAAAAATGAGTAACTGTTAGGAATTAAATCAGTCATTTCTAAGAGTTATACTAGTTCTTTTAGCTTATTGGAAAAGAAGCATTTTAAAAGATAGGTGAGTATCAAAATAGAGACTACACTGTTTCTATCAAAATAGAGACTACACTGTTTCTCTTATTTTATTTTTAGTAGACATGGAAAATTGTAATTGAATGTGTTTCTGGGTATGAAGTGACAGTATGACCTGTAGGAGGCAGGAGTTTTGTATTGAGCTAATTAACATATTCATTGCCTCAGATCTGTGCTGTTTGTTCCTCCTGCCCCAGCTTTGCACCCTTTGACCTGCATCACTCCATTCTTTCCGCTCCCAGCCTGTGGTACTGCCATTCTGCTTCTGTGTGTTGGATTGTTTTATTACATTCCATGTTATCAGTGAGACCATGTGGTTATATTACCTTTCTGCGCTTGGTTTGTTTCTTTTAACACAGTGCTTTCAAATTCAAGTGTATTGGGTTTTTCTTTTTTCTTTCTTTTTGAGGCAGGGTCTTTCTATGTAGTTCAGACTGACCTTGAGCTCACTTTGTAGCCCAGGCTGGCTTTGAACTCACATCCGCCCTCCTGCCTCAGCCTCCCAAGTGCTGTGATTACAGGCCTGTGCTGCCACTCTCAGTTCATCTGTACTGTTTTAAATGACAAGACTTCCATCTTTTTGAATGGTGAATAAGTGCTAGTGATTTAGCTCAGCTGCACAAACACCTGCCTGGCAAGTGCAAGGTCCTGAGTTCAGTTCCCGTACTGAAAAATAAAAGGCGAATGATACCCCATTGTGTGCCCACATAGTTTATTTGGAACTGGGAATCAAACTCATGACCTGGTGCTTTCCAGGCAGGTGCTTATGCCACTGAACTACATCCCTGACCCTGTACCATATTTTCTAAATCCATCCATTGGTTGAGGGACACACGTAGGTTGATTTCCTAACTTGGTTTTTACAAATAATGCGCTGAGAAGCATGGGGATATAGAATTAAGACCTTTTTAAAGATTGTGGTAAAATACACATCAGATTTTCCCTTTCAGCCTTTTTTCTTTTCTTTTTTGAGTCTGGGTCTCACTTTGCAGGGCGGCTGGCCTTGGACATGCTTAGGTAGCCCCGGCTGGCCTGGGTCTTATGGCAGTCCTCCTGCCTCAGCCTGCTGAGTGCTGGGGATTATAGATGTGTGCCACCACACCTGGCCTCTCAGCCCTTTTTAAGTGTACATTTCAGTAGAGTTACATAGCTTCTCATTGTACCCATTACCACCATCTGTTCCCAGGATACTCGTAAGACTGAAATTGTTCTGTCCACAAGTTGTGTGTTTAAGTAACCTGTGTTAGAGGCGTCAAACAATTTTGTCCTTTTGTAACTAGCTTATTCTACTTAACGTAATATCCTCAGTGGTCTTTTTGTGATAGCATGTGTCAGAATTTCCTCCCTCTTAAAAGCTAAATATCGGGGGCTGGGGATTTAGCTCAGCGGCATAAGCACCTGCCTTGCAAGCAGGTGGTCCTGAGTTCGATCCCTGGTACAGATAAAAAGAAAAAAGAAAAAAAAAGTGTAAAAAAAAAAAAAGCTAAATATCGTTAGATATGGTGGCACACACTTGTAATCCCAGCCCTTGGGAGGCTGAGGCACGAGGATCACTGGAAGTTTAAGGCCAAACTAGGCTATGTAGTGAGTTCAAGGCCAGTTTGAACTACATAGCAAGACCCTATCTCAAAACAAAGGGTCAGGGATCCAGCCGAGTGGCATATCACCTGCCTGGCAAGCACAATGTCCTGAGTTTGATTCCTAGGACCAAAAAAAAAAAAAAAAAGCTAAATATTGTTCTGTTGCTCGTGTATACCACATTTTGTTTATTCATCTATCCACCAGTGGACATTTGGGTTTTGTCAGTGTATAGTTTTTACTAAATGTGGCATAATACCATTGTTGTGCTCTTAAAAACTAACAATAATTGCTGGGCATGCTGGTGCATGCATGCCTGTGGTCTTAAGTATGTGGGAGGCTGAGGCAGGAGGATCTCTATGAGTTTGAAGCCAGCCTGGGCTACCTAAGACAGTTCAGGGCCAGCTTGCTGTGCTTAGTGAGACTCTGACTCAAACAAACATTTTTTTCTTAAATTCATCAAATGTCTAGTGAATTTCAAATTTCCAGTTGTCTCACAAGTATCCTAAATATTTTTGTTTTGCTTTTATAATTGATGTTTCTAGAGCTTGGATTTAAACAGATTTGTTTGACCTTTGACTTCTTTGTTTTTCTTATGCAGAATCTGTTCTAGAATCTGTTCCGCTGGGCTCTCTTCCAAGTGTCTTGGATGACACTGGTGTTCAGGGCAGCCCTATTGTGGATAATTGTGGCCAAGCGTCCTCAGAGGCCGATAGCTCGGTTTCCCCCAGCGCGGAGGACCTCGTCCTTCACCCGGTCAGCTGCTCCACTCTCCTTCCCTCAGAGGGTGGGCTGGGGTTGGAAGCCTTGGACTTGGAGCTGAGAGTCTCTCCTCTGCCAGGTCTCAGTCCTGGTCCTGAAGGTGAAGGATGTGGCTTTAGGGATTGAGGTACGTGGTGAGGACCTGACTGTCGCTTTGCAAGCAGAAGAACTGGCCCTGCAGCAGCCCGGCACCATGGGACTCTGGAAGTTCCTGCATGGACAGTGCCCTGGTAAGGATTGTGGTCATTCCAGGAGGGTGATGGGATTCATCTAGGGCACCCAGAGATTTGCTGGCACCTGTGTCGTGCGGGCAGTGGTCTGGTGCCAATCCCCAGGTCCTTTTCTCCAGCAGCCATTAGGGGAAGGACTAACTGTAGCGAAACCTTTTTCTTGCAAGCAGCCTCCTAGAGCTCTTGCTGTGGTGGCAGTGTTCCTGGGCTCGTCTCCGTCTTCACTGCTTGGTACGCTGTGAGCTTTTTCTATGATCCTCACTACCCAATCTCAGAACATTTCTGTCGCCCCCAAAATCCCCGTAGCCATACCCTACTGACTTTTCCAGTCAGTTCTGAACAGACATTCGGGTTGTTGGCAGCTGTTTTGCTGTTTCAGCTAGCATTGCTGTGACCACCCTGGTACATGTCTCCTGGTCTAAGCTTTTCTCCAGGGTTATATTCTGAGGATGTGTTTCTAGCTGATTAGGGTAGTACAGCTTCAGCTTTACTGGGTAGTACCAGAGTCTTCTCCAGAATGGTTGTGCCAACCTGCAGCTCCATACGTATGCAAATCATTCCATTTCCTTGGCTAAATCTGAGATTATTCTTTATGAACTTTTGGGAAGGATAGGTTAGATCCTGCTTGGTTTCATCATTGAGAGATGAGAAAAGCAAGATTTAAAAGAAGAGACATTCAAATTTAGTGGAGTTCATGGTCCTGTGCTTCAAGAGATTTCCTCAGGCCATCAGTCCAATGCCCAAAGTTCACAGTAAGGCCAGCTTTAGTTGGTCGTTCCCCTCTCTCGCACCTTGAGCAGGGTTATAGCAGAGTATTTAAGGCCATGGCCTGTGTGGCCAGGCCACATCGGTTTCAGATGTTTCTAATTGTGTGACTTTGGACAAGTGATTCTCGTGACTGTTAACCTGTAAGATGGGAATGGTGAATGTCATTTGACAGAGGTTTGTTTTGAATATTGAAGACATGATCAGTGCTTAGGATTTTCCCTGTGTTAATTACTTAGCACACATTCCTTGTCTTTATTCTTCAAGGTCCGACCCTCCAAGAATCCTCAAGTGTGCAGACTGACCACGTCCGCCCAGCCGTGGGCCTTCGCTTTGAGGTGGGGCCGGGTGCAGCTGTTCATTCTCCCCTAGCTATACAAAATGGTTTCCTTCACTTTGTGCTTCATGGCTGTGATGTTGAGCTGCTCACTTCGATGCTGAATGGCTTGGGCCCCTTTCTGGAGGACGAGGAAGTTCCAGTGGTTGTCCCCATGCAGATTGAGCTCCTAAACTCCAGTGTCACCCTGAAGGTGAGAGGTGGCTTTGGTGCTTGCACTAGACTCTGGCGGGCAAGGGACCCTTTCCATGTCAGTGCGGCAGGAGTGACGTGAGGACATCAGCAGCCCTGTACAGCAGTGCTATAGAGAGTGTGTGCAGAGAGCCAGGCCCATGTCTCCAGCCCGGCCTGCCTCTGTCGCTGGGATGCAGGCCTGTGTGTGGCCAGGGTCGTGAGACTGCTTCTCGTTGGAGGCAGAAGCGTGGTTGTTACCTAGATCGCCCTGAGCTGGCCAGGGGCTTGACACGCTTATTCCTTTCTTGCAGGACGACATCCCCCCCATCTATCCAACGTCCCCAGGCCCTGTCCCCATCACCCTGGCCATGGAGCATGTTGTGCTGAAGCGCAGTGATGATGGTGTCTTCCACATCAGCGGTGAGTCAGACTCGCTGGTCCCCTGGCCTCCTTGCCTTTTCCTCTTACAAGTCAGCAGGTGACAACTAGGAACTGTGTGGCTGTTGGCAGCAGTCTGTCACTTAGCACTTTGCTCTTTTTCTCCAGCTGTTGCTCAGGACAGACCACATGCCACAGTACCTGGAAATGAGAAGAGGCAGCCCCCCGAAGAACAGGTGGTGCTGGCACCCACTGGAGAGGTTTTTGGACAGCAGGTGAGGACCTAACTGAACAGTGACTTCCGAGTAGCCCTTCACAGCTGTGACTGTGGACACTGGTGAAGCCCAGAGGCTGAGAAGGTTGCTTGTGCTGTGTGCCCCCGAGTGGTGGGGGCACCTGTCCTCTGGCAGCAGCTTCAGCTGCGCTAGCTGAGGATGTGGGCTGGAGCTGGAGGTGAACGATTGCTGGCTGTGGCTGTCCCTGTCCCTGTAACCAATCAGCCCGCGGGAGTTGGGCTCTTGGAAAAGATCTGGCTGAGCCGTCTTGCTCCTAACCTCACCTGTGGGTTTTCTGCTTGCATTCTGCCACTTGTTCCCTTACTGGCCGCTGTTGCAAGATGTTACTGCCACACTCATTAACTGTGAACTCCTTGTTCCTCAGGTGAAAGCACTGCCTGCCCTGCAAAAAGAACTTACAGAAACTAAGCAAGCATTGGCCAGGGCCAAGCAGGAGAAAGAAAAGCTTCTTCAGGAAATTAGGAAATATAACCCCCTCTTTGAACTCTGGTAGCAGAGCCATCCGTGCCAAGGAGAGAAGTGATCACCAGCAGCAGCAGCATCTAGGACGGAAGGTGCCCTCCGGTGTGGACTCCTCTGCTGAGGGGGCCTGAGGGCCCGGGCGTGCTTGCTCCTGGCTATTGTAACTTTGACAGAGGACAAGGCAGAGCAGGGCCACATTCCAGGAGAGCGCAGGCAGCTTCGTGTGTGGCTCCAGCGGTGTGTCAGGCCTCAGAGAGCTCTTTGGCCCTCTGTGCTAGGTGAATCTTCTCCGCTCCACAGAGCCATTTCACCTCCTGGCTTCATGGCAGATACTTGCTTCCTTCACAGCCCGTGTGAACAAGTCACCGTACTCGCCACCTCTGTCACCCACAGATCCACCAAAGAGTCCACGTCCCAGGGCTTCCTGAAGCAGCTCCGGGCAGGTCTTGGCCTGAGCTCTGGCCTTGTGAGTGGAATAGGACAGGAAGTAGGCCAGCAAGAGAGTGGGGTCAGGAAAGGCACACACGGAGGGAGCCGCGGTCTCAGGCTGTTGCAGATGAGGGTCAGGCTCCTCTGTTTTGGCTGACAGCCCCACCAGCTTGGTTAGGGTGGAACCTTCCTTCAGTGGGTGTTGTGCCATCATGGTGAGGCTGTAATGGGAGGTAAACAGCCATCTCATCTTTCCTCCGTCTCCATAATTTATTTGGAATTAAAATAAAGAAGAAATGTTTGCTCTGAGCTAGGTTGCAGGCATGATATGGTAGGGGACTTGTGTAGGGCACCCTGATTCTGAGCCCCCTTGACTTCTGCCCCTGCCGCAGCTGTGCCTGACAAGTCTCTTCCGAGGTGTCCCTAGGGTCCCGGCTCATCTGCTTTGCAGCGCTGGGACTCCTGCCCGTGCTCACCTCAGTCCGTGGTGGCTTGGCAGCCGAATGTGTTTCCTATACTTTACTGTGAAGATCTTGACCTCTCACTCCCCCCTTTAAAATCATGGAATTTTAACTTACGAAGCAGAAGCAGGAAAAAACCCCTTCAGGCCACCCAGGTTTGTCTCTCTCCCCTACCTAAGTGCTGTTTCTTCCACTTCTTAGTTCTCCAGGACTCTGTCTTCACCCGTGATGTGCTTCCAGCTGGGCCGATGGGACAGGAGTTCATCAGCTAACTTGCCTTGACCTGGCAAGACGGTGGGACAGTTAGTGACATCCCTGAAGCTTTCACCCTGTTTGTCCTACTGAGGAGAGATAGAGTGGTTTCTTTGGTGGAAGTCATGCTTGACTTGAATGCTTTTGTTTTTTGGGGATGAAAAACATGCATTCTTGAAGGAACAAAATATTATGTTGAGAATCTTTAAGGACTATTGTCGAGTTTCTTCGCTAAGGCAAGTTTTTAAACAGTTACTGTGAGGTTGTGGAAACCTGTCATTCTCGGGAAACACTCAAAAGACTTAGGAATAACGAAACCCTTTCCAAAGGAGCTGTTAAGGAGGACATTCCTAAGGTTTGGTACTCAGTTCAGCCTTCCAGAGGGCTTTATTAGTGACTTACATGTAGGCTTTTACAGTGAAAAAAGCGGTTTCTGCTTTTAAGGAAACCAAAGGCAGATGAGAAGAGGTTTTTAAAAGCCACAGAGCCACAGAAAAGGTCACAAACATGGCTGTGAATAGTGAAAATTGAGAGGATCGGTATGGCTCTGTGGAGAGAATGGCGGCGGACAGTGCGGGGAGAGGCTCTGGGCTCGGGAAGGAGCCGAGCCGGCTGAGAGTGAGGGGCCGGGGTGCTGTGCCGGCTGCCAGGGCGGGCACTGTGGACCTACTCAGGATGGCACCTGACGTGCCACTGGGGAACTTTTTTCTCCCCTGTACCGGGCAAGTGCCCTGCCATAGAGCTGTACCCTTAGTCCTCTGAGATGTTTGTTTTGTGGTCCCACGGATGCGCTAAGCAGGTACTCAGCCATTGAGCTATACCACCAGGCCCTTAAGAGTTTTCGTTACTCATTTACTTGTTTTATGCTACTAGGAACTGAACCCAGTGCCTTTGCACTGAGCTACATCCCAGCCTTCCTTTCATTTTTTTCTCTTTATTTTTTATTTTTTGACAAGGTCTTGCTAAGTTGCTAACTGCCCAGGCTGGCCTCGAACTTGGATCCTCTTCCCTCAAGTCTCCTAGGTAGCTGGGCTTGTGCACCACTGTGCCTAATGTTATGTTTTAATTGAATTATCCGTGCATTTCTGGTGACTTCATTTATCAGCTTTATGCAGAAAGGAGGAAATGTTCAGAGAACAGCAAGCATTCTGAGACAGTGGAGGTACTTTCAGACGAGGGTGTCATCTTTTAACATGCAGACTGTGTTCTTCAAAGGTGACGGTTGCTGGGCTGGGGATGTAAGTTAGTGGCACAGCACCTGCCTGGTAAGGGCAAAGTCATGAGTGTGATCCCTGGTACCAAAAAAACCCCAAAACAAAACAAAGACAGCTACGGGGGTATTGGGTCCATATCTAGTCAAGAGCAAGGACTCAGTTCGAAAATGCTGCTTGCTCTAGGGCTGTACCTCACCACCTTGGTAACACACTGCAGCAAACTGGAAACTGAAGAGCTTTGGGTGTAAGTGGCACCAGCCTAACTTCTGCAGGACGACAGAAGGTGTAAGAAGCACTCTGTGTGATGGCCCCCCAAAGGGAGTGCTAGACGGCGGCTACTTGGTGACCACAATAATGAGTGGTCCCTCCACAGACTGCATTCTGCTTAGCGCTTCATTCTCAGGCTGCATGCTGAGCCAGGGGGTCCCCAGTGCTCTCAAGTGGGGCACAGCTAACGTTCTTGGGGTGGCGGCAGAGGAGGGCCATGTAGTAGCCAGGAAATAGAATTCTTCAATCCCAGGCTCACCTCAGTCGTCTACGAATCACACCTGGACTCTCTTCCCCTCTCTTCTTCCCCAACCTCGGACTCCCTGTGGCATTCCTCCAGGCAAGGAGAATGTCTAGACGCCCGGCTTGCCCTACCTCTCTGTAGGCTAGCAACAGGGACATACCAGCGCGTACCGAGGCGGACTCTGCTGTAGAAGAACCCAGTCTCAGGCCACATTGTCAGGGCTGCGGGCTGTGAGGCCGCCTGCAGTTCTGTCCACGCGTCAGATGTGGCAGCTCTCAGAAAATGTGGTAGGATGTAGGGTGCATTATGCCATGGGGCTTTAGTAAAAGCATCCTGTGTGTGGTCATTCTCCTGCCACTGGGGAGCAAGGCTTTTTAATGAATTGTGCAGGCCGGTGGTAGTCTTCAGGGTAAGGGTGAAGGAAAACGATAGAGGGTGAGCCCTTGGGGACAGCTTGTAATCCCGGCATGGAGCTCAACACTGAGTAAGAAATGACACCTCTGCAGCGCCCGGAGCCATGGCATCCCTGTACCTCAGCCCCCAGCTGCTGCGCACCATTCATAGCCATGTCATTTCCCGCACACATGGGATACGAGGGTGTGCTTTCGTGTGGATGCATCCGTGTTTCCCCTCTCTCTCTTTCCAATTTACTGGAATAATTGACCTAAGTTTCTCTAAGCCGGGGCGGGGGGGGGGGGTGCTGGTCACACGGTGCTGCTTTGTACTGGTTCACACGGCCTCCTTTTGCCATGGCCTCAACCTTTGTGCTGCCGCCCCCTCAGTTCTGAAGAAGGTTCCCGTGTGTGGAATGTACAAGGGATTGAACACCATCTCTCACCAACCCCGTCCCCGCAGTGCTTTCGTGTGGCTCACTGGCTGTGCATTGCTTTACCCCTAGGGGGAGGCAGAGGCTGTGGAAAGAAGGTTCTGTCCTTGGACATAGGTACAGCTGTGTGGGAATTGTCCTTTCTGTTCCATTGCACTGCCCTCTGCTTCGCCTGCCAATTTTCTATGAAACTGGGATTCCAACTCAGGACCTTGTGCTTGCCAGGCAGGCACCGTTCCAGAGTTATATCCCTAGCCCCCCAATTTTAATATTCACTGAAACTTCTAAAATCAGTTATTCAAAGTCACAAAACTCTAAAAATGAGTGAACTTTGGAATACATGCTGATGGAATGACATGTGATTGGGGACGGTGAAAGCTGTGCTGTGGCCTTGTGATTTGTCCCTGTCATCTGAGAACCTGGAGTAGTGCACAGTTGGAAGCTGCCATTCCTCTCGGGTAGTGTGGACAGTCATTATCAGGGAATGGGTTTTCCATTCCCCATGGCCCAAGAGGGAGGTAATCTTGTGTATTGTTTAACAGTAAGGCCTGCTGAGTGGCCAGGTTTGGGATTTGATCTCCCTCCTGTGTTATTTTCAGCCATGGCCAGTATCTTCATTTGCAATAGGCGTAGTGTCTACAACTGTTTATAAAAAGTTCCTGTTAGAACTGAGAGAATATCTTTTTGTCAGTTCATTAGTTTTTGGTTAAGATTTAGCCTGTGTTACAGCGTTTCTTTTGTGGACTGTTCCACAGAGGTGTCTTTTCCTCTAATTACATACGGCCTTGCGTTTTAATGTAAGATACTAAAAGTCAAATCTGTCCAGCTTTCTAAGTTAAGATGTTTCCCCCACTCAGGGTGCTAAACAGAACTGGAATCTACTACATCTGCTCAAAGAAAGCCACAAGACAGCAGCCTCAGAACCCTTCTCCTGCAACACTGGGTAGTTGGTTTCTGGGGATCACCAGTTACGTATTACTATGTAACTAGCCTTATTACTGCTAACCACTGTCAATAAAAGGTCACTGCATCTCCTCTGTGTTAGGACAGCACTGGCAATGTATGTGAGGAACTTGAGTCCTGGTCAGTATTGGAAAATTTCAATGTTGCAATATCGAATCCCACCCTGAGTGTACTGGTTCTGTGAACCACCTGAAAAACAAATTAAACTTATTGAACAGCACTGGTTGTGGTATACGTTTATAGGAGGTGGAACTACATGGTTTTTTTTTCTTTACATGGTTTTATTTTTTATTTTTAGACAGGGTCTTGCTATGCAGCTCACGCTGGCTTTGAACTCATTTTGTAGCCCAGGCTGGTCCCAAACTCGCAGTGATCCTCCTTCCTCAGCCTCCCGAGTGCTGGGATGACAGGTGTGTGCTACCATGCCTGGCCTTTATGTGGTTTTAAGGGGCTTGATGTGCTCTTTTGTGAGTTAAAATTTTGATGATTCTAGTAGAAAATGGGAAGGGCTTACAAATTTTTTTTTTTTTTTTTTTTTGGGTCTTTTTTCATTTTTATCGGTACCGGGGATCGAACTCACGACCGCCTGCTTGCAAGACAGGTGCTTATGCCGCTGAGCTAAACCCCCAGCCCCTACAAATTTTTACAAAAAAAGCCGAGGCTACCTTTTATTTGGATGGCAAAAAAGAATGATGAAATTCTCCCCATTTCAATCAGCTACACACAAAATGATTACAAGCTGGAAAAATCTGACACTCAGTCACCAAAATCCACAGGAGAATCTTAAATGTTCACAAGCACAAACTTTGCCCACTGCTGTTACCGCATCCTTCTGGGTAGAGTTCCACAAGTCAAGTTTCTGATGGTTTCATCTACTTAAAACCAGATGCAGGAGACAGCCTAAGTCTTGGTACTTTAGGCTTCAACATGAAAATTTTCTTGAAAGATTTTCTCCAGAAGCAGCTCCTGCTCCTGCTCAGAGGATTCTGAAGGTCCATGCCCTTTTCTTCCTCCAGCTATCCAGAGACAGCTGAGCGTCTCAAAATGGCCTGTGAGGTCCCAAAATTCAGTCAGGGCAGCTGAAACAGTCTGCATGCCTTTAAGTGTGGAATTAAAACCATCACGGGATCCCTGGAGGACTGCGATGCTGCAGCACCGGTACAGAAAGCCTCAGGGAGCAGGGAACCAGAACCAGAATTCCTTCTCCCAGTAGCAGGCCTTTCAGGCTTCAGTCTAGAAGAAGGTGATTTTTTTGTGCTTCGAGTTGGGGATTTGCCCCTTGGACTTGAGCCTCCGCACAGCCTCCCGCATATGTTTGGGTTGCAGTGGTGGGGTCTCTCCCCACTTCTCACACACATCCAGTGCTAAGTAGAGGGAAAGGAGCACATTTCATTATCACACGAGCACCTAGTAATCACATAACCCTTTTGCATCCTCTAAATCTTATTCACTCTCCTTAGACTTGCTAAAGGAATAAATCAAGACTTTCCCTTTAGAGTGTGCGACAAAATGTAGCATGCCAGTAATATACCACACTGGGCTTTATCACAGGCAACAGAACGTATTTACTGCTTAAGCAAATCAGGATTTCGCAAGCTACAAGTTAGCGACCGGAAACAGCTAGACTTTGTGTCAAAAGACAGAGGGCGTGCCCAGAGTTGACGATGTCAGGGACAACCTACCACACCCACACTGCACCAGGTGAGCCCTGGTGATGGCTTTTCTTGTATCTGTCAGCAGAGACAAACAAGCTGTGGTGGTGAAAGCCACAAAGTCTGCTGCCTGGCCCTGGACTAAAGAGGGCTGTGGGGGAGGATTTCCTAGATAGCTCCTTGTTCCCTGCTATTGAAACTCTTTAAGAAACAAGAGTCTTGCTTTCCAAAACACCAATACAAATGGAAACTCCCACAGGTGCTTGTAAGTTCCCTGCTTTGATACTCTTGAAAAGGCCACGTGTGACCCCCACTTACCTTCTTCTACCACCTCCCCAACAAAGACCTTGGAGATACCGGACATGGCAATGACCACATTCTGGGACACAGAGGTGCCGGTGATGGACTGGATCAGCTTAAAGAAGAACAGACTCTGTCACCACAGCCTGGTTCAGCTGTGACACACGACAGGAGGACAGACAGCTCACTCTTACCCTTTTAATGGCTGCCTTAGGGAAAGCTGACCGGCGGTACATTTCGTAGCGGTTCAGCTGCTCCTCTGAGAAAGAAGAGACCAGGATTCTAGACAAAGATTTAACTAAGTAAGTCAGCTGATGAGAATGGAAGCTGGAGATGTTAAGTCAATAAAAGCAAGTCTCAGACAATTATAACTAATACCGCAGAGCCAATTTTTCATGTCAGGCTTGGTGCTAGGGGAATGGAGGTAACATTTCTATTACTAAAGAACTGAGAAAGCATGCAGCATAATTTCCCTTTCTTTCTTTATTGAGGATAAAAGCTGAATAATCTGGGGTACAGTGTCTTTAGCATTAGCTCCTTCTCCCCCTAATTCTACCTCACTGCATGTCACATTGATTATAAAAACTTAAGACTTCATATGTAAGTTTATATTCAAACTAATAGTTTTCAACATTAATAGATTTAGGGGGAAATATTTGCAAAGTATACACCGAACAATATTTGTAATATGTAATTATTTCAAATAAATAAGATGGCCAAATCAATTAGAGAAAATGAACACAGGACATGAGCAGGAAATTTGTAAAAATATCAGTGGCCAATAAATAGAAACAAAACCCCTTCACTATTAATTTAGGAAATTAAAATGTTAAACTGAGCTGGGTGTGGTAGTGTATACCTATAATCCCAAGAACCTCGGAAGCCGAGGCAGGAGGATGGCAAGTTTGAGCTCAGCCTGGGAAATTCAGTAAGACCCTGTCTCAAAATAAAAAGCAACAAAGGGCTGGAGACACAGGTCTACGTGTGAAGGCCCTGGGTTCAATGCCCAGTATCACCAAGAAACCAAGACCAGAACCCAGCAAAACAAAATGTTTCAAAATTTTGGAAATTTATACAAAAACTTGTGTACTTCAGTAAATTGCCCAAGCTGGGCTCAAATTTGTAATCCTCCTGTCTCAGGCTCCCACAGTGCTGGGATTACAGGTGTGCACTCCCATGTGTCGCTTTTTTAATCTTGCCTAAACTAGGAATTATGTCAAGGCCAAGAAAAATGTACTGTGTTTGCGTAGTCGCATCAGAACAGGGCAAAGTGACTTACTGCATCTTCTGAATCTCATCTTCATCTACTTTTTGCTTTTTCTCCTTTTTTTCTTTGGTCTCTATTTTCAGTTTTTTGGCTGCAGGAGCAAGTAATGAGTCTTCCCTTTCACCTGGTGTGGAATCTGAGACATCTTGACTCTTGAGCTAGGAAAAATGAAAGGAAAGGAAACCTGTTATATATTTGACCTAGCTTCAGGCATGGGCAAGGTAAAAAAGAAATCATTCTTACTACAACACAACCAATCCCTTACTGGGTAGTTTTTTAGTTCCTGTATCATCAAATGTAAGATACAGGATTTCTCTGAAGGGAAGATTATAGCCTAATCTGTGAAAGAAAACTAGCCAAATAATCCATGTTTCCAATGTAGCTGCGATTAGAGCCCCAGTCTGTTTACAAAGTAAGGAAATGCCATGGATCAGAACAAACACACTCCCTTGTCCCCTGGGGCCTGCTTTTTTTTTGAGACAGGTCTTGCCATATAGCCCAGGCTGGCCTTGAACTTGCAGCGATCCTTCTGCCTCAGCCTCCTGAGTGCTGGGTATACAGACATGCGCCACCATGCCCAGCTCCATAAACCTTTTTTTTTTTTTAAGATACGGTCTTGCTCTGTAGTCCAGGCTGGCCTTAAAACTCATGTGGATCCTCCTGCTTCAGCTTCTTGAGTGATGGGATTATAGGTGTGCACCACCACACCTGGCTTCATAAACATTGGTTTAATAAATGTCTGTTTAATAAGAGCAAAAATCACATCCAAACTTTGTACTCTCTCACTTCATATGGGCTCTTCATATGGGACAACAAAGTTCATTAAGATTTAATTGTCTCTCTCAGAGGAACTCATGGGAGTAAAGAGAGTATATTTCTGATAACCTTTTCGGATTTTTTTTTTTGTAGCTGACTTGCTCAAGTTTTCTAACTTCTTTGTGCTTCAATTTTGGCGATTAACATTTTCCTAAAGAAAAGTATCTCTTTTTCTTTTTCTTTTTTTTTTTTTTTTCCGGTACCGGAGACGGAACTCACGACCGCCTACTTGTGAGGCAGGTGCTTATGCCCCTGAGCTAAATCCCCAGCCCCATATCTGTTTTTCTTATACTTTCACATCTATTTGGCTTAATCTTGAATATTAAACTTTCTTTTTGGTGATGCTAACACCTTTTCCTCATGCTTTACCACTGAGCCACATCCTCAGTCCTTGTAGTTTTAAAGTGTTAATTCATAAATATCTACTTTTATCCTTAATGCCTTGTTCCTATACTCTGGTTTATTATCTTTCCAGTTTCTTGAGTTGGCTACTTATTTTCAAAACTCTGTAAGGCTATGAACTTTTAATAGGTAAGATTTTGGTCAAATCTCTTAGCATCTGATATAATATTAATTTCTTTAATATAAAGGTTAAGAAACAGTTTAGCAATGTCTGATGGTATTTTCTTTTTTGGGGGTGGGGAGAGGCTTTTTGTTAATATCAGGCTTATTACATTAGATTAACAGGATGTAACCTGTGACAGCTTCTACTTGTAAACATTTGTGTTTTCTTTTCTACTTGTAAAACATTTGTGTTTTCGGGCTGGTATGTGACCATTTTTTTTGTACCAGGGATCGAACTCAGGACCTTGGGCACTTATGCTGCTGAGCTAAATTCCTGGCCCCTGGGGCTGGGGATTTAGCTCAGCGGCATAAGCACCTGCCTTGCAAGCAGGAGGTCGTGAGTTCGATCCCTGGTACCGATAAAAAGGAAAAAAAAAAAAAAAAGAAATATAAATTCCTGGCCCCATGTGACCAATTTTTAACAGGGCCTTAGAAGCATCACAACTATACCTTCTGTTGGTTTCTCTATGTAGTGATCTGTCAATTAAAATTATTCCTCAAAATTCTTCAGACCCACTTTAAGGCTTTTAAAAAAAGTTTTTCTGAGACAAGGTCTCCCTTTGTAGTTCAAACTGGCCTTGAACTCGTGGCAATTCTCCTGCCTCAGCCTCCTGAGTGCTGAGTTACAGTCACAGGCCACCGTACCAGGCTTGAAGTTTTTTTCTTAGAAGTTTTGTCCTATTTTTTTTCCTAAAAGTTCTTACTTTATATATTTTGATTCAACCTTATACGCTGAAACCCCATTTTCATTTAGTCTTATGTTCACTCTAAGATCTTATAAGTCCTTTTTAGCTCTAAGACCTTAAGATTCTCCTCTGGAACTGGAACTCACAGAGTGCAGAGATTCTGGTGCCCTGACTGATATTTAGCTAGGCAATACTGCTGCACACTTGTGTTGGCTCAACTAATTGGTTTGAGGTTTCGAAGCTACAGAGATCATTCGGCATTAGCACTCAGGTCACTACTAGCAAGTCCCTGATGGTTAAATGTCCCAGGAGGGTAAAAACATGATTTAACTGGTGACTCTTTTAGAAATTATCATATTTGATCAAATCTGCTACCTTTAAGCTGTTGCTAAGATGTGCTTAAACAACATCTAAGAGAAAGTATACTGTAGTGAAAAGGCTGCCAGAAATTTGGGGTTTTAGTTCTTACAGAGTCTCTAATCCCAATTCTCTCGCTAGGAAAAGAACAAGAGAACATTCAAATTTCCTAGGCAGGCATGGTGGCACATACTTGTAATCTCAGTATTCGGGAGGCTGAGGCAGGAGGATCGCCATGAATTCCAGGCCAGATAGTGCGTGCAAGGCCGGCCTGTATTACAGATGGAGACCCTGTCTCAAAAAACCCCATCCAATCAAACGAAACGAAACAAAAACAGCAAAACGACAACAAAGCAACACAAAATAAAAAGTAGCTTTAATCCACAAAGGCACCGATTAAAAATTCCACCCCGTGCTTGTTTCTGGTACCGAACCAGTCCTAGAAATTCGTCATCCTCTCCCTCACCCCTCGAGACTGCAGTGTAGGGGTGAGCTAGACTTTTCCTAGCTCTGGAAGGACTAATTCAGAACAGCCACACAAACAGCCACTCATATAATGTTGGGGTACGCCTTCCATCTTTATACCTCGCCTTCCTCCGCTACGACTTCTTTCAAGTCCGCATCTCCGTCTGCATCGGTTTCCTCCGGGATTGCGTCTGTGTCTGCAGTCCCGGGGACTACGGGGGCAGAGGTGGTCTCATCTGACTCCCCTGTCTCTCCACCTTTGTCGGTGGGCGACTCTCGGGCACTGTCCATTGCAACCAAGGTCGGAGCGGGGAGGAGACCGCACCGCTCTCAGCCTAAACTCCACAGCCAGCCGGTAGCTTATTTCCTGTTTGTCGCGCCCGGATGACATCACTCCTATGGGTCCTCGGAAGGGGCATTTTGAAGCGCGCGAAAGCTTGGAGGGATCTAGGGGCGCGCGTAAACCACTTTGAGGTTCCCGGGTTTGGGGGTAGCGAAGAGGAGGAAGGTTGGAAGTGTGAATCATCCGCTATAGAAAGCCAGCATTTCTGAAGGAAAACAACTTTGTTTATTGAGATTTTTTTTCTTCCCGCTTTTAAAAAATATTCTTTTGAAAGAGTTTCACTGTGCCATTCAGGCTGGCCTCGAACTCGCTGAGATCTTTCTGCCTCAGCCTCCCGAGTGCTGGGATTACAGGCGTGCGTCACCACGCCCAGCTCCTTCCCGCCTTTCTAAAAATACACTGTGTGTTCCCTTCTATTTCCCTAGTACCTAGCGGGGGCGGAGTTCGGAGTCATCACTAGAGAACTGATTCAATTTATTTCACTGGGCAACTACTGGCCGCTCCAGTAGAGAACAGTGCTATGTGGTTATCCGGGAACAAAACAATCATAGTTTCTACTTAATAACATGTGTTTTCGAGGGGCTTCAACATCTGTTTTTTAAAAAATATCAATTTGGTTATCTCATCAAAATTAAGAGCACAAACACGGTCAGTGCTTTGAAAGTCACCAGTTCAGATTGGGAGGGCAAAGTGCTGGGCATATTTTTATTTTAGTTTTTTTCCTCTTTCCCTGTGGAGGAAGGAGGGAGGGCATTTTTCTCATGTCTATCCCTAGATCTCCGCACAGATTACTTCATGGATGCAGTTGCAAGAACGGATTTGGAAATGCAGGCGCGCGTTACTGTATTTCTTTTTTTTTTCCACACTGCCTGGCTCATTACCGTATTTTCCGTGCCCTGAGCTCCCCGGGGCTTGGAGGCGGGGCGCGTGCAGGTGGGCCCGTTTGTTGCCTCCATCGCTTGGATGGGAGCGCGAGCGCGCCGTGCAGCCCGGGCTCACCGAGGCCTGGCCAGGCAGGACCAGGTGCACCTGCGCGGCGGCGCGTAGCCCCGCCCAGCTAGGTGGGAGAGGGGCGGGGCAGGGGGCGCGGTGACGCGTGACGCCGGATCCCGGAAGTGACGCGCTCGCCTGTGTGCGAGGGGGGACAGCGGGGGGGAGGGGGGTGGTGTCCCCGGCCGGTTCGGGGGGTGCGTTGCCCGGAGACGGAAAGTTTGGGAGCCCGAGCGGGCTCTGCGGCGGCCCCGGGGAGGGGGCCCGGGGGGCGGCGGCGCTGGGGATGGGGAAGGAGCAGGAGCTGCTGGAGGCGGCCCGCACCGGGCACCTCCCGGCTGTGGAGAAGCTGCTGTCCGGGAAGCGGCTCTCCTCGGGCTTCGGCGGCGGCGGCGGCTCCGGGGCCGGCGGCGGCAGCGGTGGCGGCTCCGGGGGCGGGGGCGGCCTCGGCTCCTCCAGTCACCCGCTCTCCAGTCTGCTCAGGTGGGTGCGCGCGCGGCCCGGCCCCGCCTGGAAGCCCCGGCCCCCGCCCGTCGGCGGGGTCCCGGGAGAGTCTGGGCGCCGCGGCTCGGCGGGTGGGCTTGCGCGGGGTCCCCGGGCCACGGCGCGCGGGGCTCGTGCAGCCTGCCGGGCCGCGCCGGAGAATGGAGGGAGTGCCCAGGTGGCACCGCGCCGCATGGCACAGCCTCGGTGCACCCTCGCCCCCTCCGGGGTGCCGGCTGTGGTTTCTTACAAAAGCCACTTGAGAGCAGATACAGAGAAAATCTCACTCACCTCCTGCACAAACTCCCACGCCTTGCAGCATCTTGCCGCTCCCCTGGAGGAAATTCTATTATTTCCTCGTCTTTTAGGACCTTGGAACCTTGCACCAGGCTGTGCAGGGCTAGGCTTTTGTTTATACTAAAATCGTAGATTTATGATCCTCGAAGAGTTTGTCTTTGAGCCTCTCTGGTAGAAGCTCCGATTGTACTGTCGTCATCCTCGCTGCTTTCATTTAAGTGACTGTACATGCAGGATTCAGCGGGGGCTTTAAAGAAATAAAGGTTTAGAAAGACTTGTTTAGGAAGGCGAAAGACGTTTTAAACTTTTCTGAGATCTGTCAAGACACGCACTTGAATCTGGGGCTTCAAGGAGTGAGGGGAAGAGATCACTTTTGTGTAGCCTGGAAGGAGGATTGGAGGGCGCTTTGTCAGTGCGAGTGAAATGCGTTGGTTCAGCAGCGCTTTCAATAGCCAGCTTTTTTCTCCTTCCTTGTTCTGAGGTTTATAAGAAGTGGAAGTTCATTTAGAAATGGCTTCGTTAGCTTTTGTTCCCTATTAGTTTATGTAACTTCAATTTGAGTGAGCTTGGACCAAAGGAGCCCAAGGCTCTAACAGATTGTTATGTATTCAGTACCGAGTTCCAGCCTAGATCTCTACAGGAAGAGTTTAAAAAGAAATATAAGGAAAAGAACTCTCCACGGGGACTTCCCTAAGAGAAGAAAAATCCAGTACCGACATGCTGTTATTTATCCAGCTTCCCAGTAGAACTGTTACTGGCTCAGGAGTTACTTAAGATTTGTTGGATAAGAGTATCAGTTGGAGAGAGAGCCATTTTTGAATAAACTGCCGGGACTCCTGTGATTGTTGATAATTCAGAGAACAGAGACATCATCGTGGGGTGGGCTGGAGGTCAGGGCCGCCAGCAAGGGGAACAGTGAATGAAACTGGGCTCCAAGAATACAAGGGTCTGGTTAGATGAAGTGTGATGCACTGCTGCAGATGGGCACACTTTGATGGGAGGTGCAGAATGAGGAGACTTGTTTGGGCCATGTGGGTCCCTAGGGAAACCTTTGCTTGGCCTCCTGAGTTACAAGTAAGAATGTGTGGTCCTCTTGTGTCAGAGGAACAGTCTTTATCCTGTTTGTCTTCCCAGTCTTTTGCATTAGTACTTGGTGACTCACAGGTGCTCAGTATGTGGACATTGGATGCATGAACTAGGTTCTGAATCCCACCCAGTTTCTTTGAGTCTTTACTGTTCTAATATTTGAGAGAGAAGGGAGAGACCGTAGGAGCGAGGAGGTGGCTGTCTGATGAGTTGCTGATGTGGCTTCTGGATTTGCCAGAAATCCCTTACACCTGAGCAGATCCTTAGGTGAGACGTTTTCACGCGTCCCTGGCCTCCAGCTCAGGTGAACTGATTCTTGGTACTCTGAGGCTGTTGGAATCTGGTGAGGATTTGGCTGCCATGGAAGTAAGGAAGAGTAGGGAGCTTGTTGAGCAGTGGTTTTGGGGCTCCCGCTGTTGTGCCTGGGCTCTGCTACAAGGCGTGGGCGGCATGTCTCTTGCCAGGAGCTAGGGCTGGCACCTGACTGCCTCCTGTTGTGGAGGCTGCAGATGCCTAAGCTCTTCCTACCTCCCATCCCAGCGACTCCTAGGGCCAGGGAGGATCTTCGGGCGCTGGTTACATTAGGTGTGTCTTTAATTAGAGCTGACTGGTTAAACCTGGCGAAAGATTTCTGAGCAAATGAGCCCATGCACTGAAATAAGCCCTTGGTCAGCATGTTCTCACCGCATAGGTTTGGAAAGGCTCGGGCCGAGTCCATCTTCCCAACTTCTCTCTCTACCAAGGACCTTGGGTTACTCAGCGCAGTTCGTGGAGCCAGAGCTTTAGATCTGGCTAAATGTTGGTCATCTCCATTAGCACTGCCAGCAGTGACCTGATGCATCCAGGCATTCGTGGAGCTTACAGCTGCGTGGGTGTGGGTGTTTCAGATCACCACTGTCAATTCATGGATTTATGGTTCCTCCCATTCCACAAAGGCAGTGTCCCTTTCTCTTATACTGTTTGGTTTTAGCTCGTAACTTCTTCAAGCCCTCTGATCCCGTATCCCTTCAAGATCCTTCATAGATCCTTCAAGCTTCTGCTTCCTGGGCGCACTTGAGTTTGTGCTATGTGGAGCATCGTCGGGGCACTGAGGGTCATCTTAACTTTCACAGTTTAGCATTTTGGCCTGGCAGTATTTGTTAACATACCGTAATCCTTACCTGTTTCAGAGTATGTGTGAGAATCAGACAGTCAGCTAAGAAGACTTCCAGTTTAAGAAAAACAATATACACACACACACACACCCCACTTTCTTCCGATGCTCATTTATTTCCATTATTCAGGCAATATTAGAATTAAGGCCATTTGTGCTGGAGTCAAACGGCCTTGGATTCTCAATTCATGGTCATCAGCTGCTTGACTTTCTATAAAGTTCTGTATCTGTGAGCTTCAAGTTCTGTATCTGTGAAATGGGAATAATATTACCTACCCTATAGCAACTGCCTCAGCTAATGACTATCCTGGCTCCTGGCACATTCTCAGTCCACCATGTTATCCTCATTTCATGTCATCGGTTTTGCCAGGCTGCACCTGCTATGTGCAAATTACCCTGCCAGACACATTTCCAGTGGTGTTCTTTCATGCCTGGCGATCTGTTTTCAATCCATGACAGATTAGAAGCAGTCAGTAACAGAGGACCTGCTCAGGCAGATGTATTTATGTCATTCGTTAACCAAATGTTCGTCTGTCATTGACCTCGTGCTAGCCGAGTGATCGCTAGATGCCCTGCAGAGCTTACCTCAGCCCGTGCACTTTCTAGTTCTCTATCGGAATCATCTCTTCTCCCGGTGTGATCTGTTCCCTCGTAGGGTTTATGGCAGTATGTGTGTCCGCTGGACAGGATTGACCCCACACTCAAAGGTACAATTCATCCCTCTCAGTCCTTAGAAGTTGCCGACATAGATGCCTTGGCCCCCCGCCACGTGCGTAGGCCCCAAGGGTCATTGAACTACCTTAGTGCTGTGATTTATGTCTCTTATAACTTTTAGCCACCAAAGATTAAATTACATTCGGTAACTTGTTAATGAAGGTAGAAAAATATGCACTTTAGTTTTCTATCCAAAATGATTCAAATATAATTTTTGTTACTTACAGGGAAAGTAAAACTGGAAAACATACTTCACCGAAATGCTTAGTCCTGGGAGGTTCTAAATCGCACGATTCATTTTCTAACTGTTTAATGGGTGTCTGTCTTCAGTCTGTAGCTTGGGAACTTGGGGCAGGCCCAGTGTTAAAAACCTTTTGATGATGAAGGTGGTGGGCATTGAACTTCTGAAGTCACGGAGAGCTGGCTGTAGTTGGGTTGTAGTGAAGTTATTACTTTCCAGGAAAGCAATGTCTGTCAAAAGAATACAGTAAGATTTGGGTTACAGGTGGAGTCCAGAAGTCTAAAAGCCCAAAAAATGTGAGAAAAGAAGATTTCGGAATAAAAGTGATCATATAGTTGCTTAGAATCAAAGATTGACGTATGATAATGTGTCACCAGAAAGGTGAAGTGAAATGACTTCCTCGGGACTCCGAAGCCCAGAGAGACCAAACCAGAGACCGTCGTCATTAGGGAGGCGGTGTTGTGGCTTAGGAAAATTCTACACTTCATTTCTCAAGCATTCGGAAAAAAGAATCAGAACAGGGGAGCCAAGAGGCTGCTGGGGAAACCTAAACATGTGCAGACAGGATTAAATGGGGCTAGAAACTTGTTTTTACCCTGGCACCTTGTACCCGAAATAGACCCAAATTTCCGATATTAGAAGGTTCTAAACTAAGGAATGAAGACGGAGAATATTTGATCTTGATTTTTTTTTTTGTGCCAGGAATCGAACTCACAACCTTGTGTTTGCCAAGCAGGCACTTACGCCCTGAGCTAAACCTCTGGCCCCGAGGAAGAATATTTGAAAAATGAATCCTTTTGTGGACAGTAGCGAGTGCTCCCAAACATCCACAGATCAGACAGATAATTATTTTGGAAAAAAAAGGTTATTGATGTTTATTTTAAAAGTTTAGACCTTTTTAAAAAGGAGTGGTTAGCATAACCATTCTGTCGACTGGCATTTTACTCCCAATGCGGCTTGTAGTGTGGAGATTTTAAAGGGATGACAGCTTTTTCTCCTGCTGACCAGTTTGACTTTTGCCCTTTTACTGTGCCAGATTTCTTTTGAACTTATCTCTCGGGAGCAAAATGATCTTAACATCCTAAGGAAGAGGGCAGCACTGACCATGTGGGGATTGTGGGACAGGAGACCTGGAAACAGGATATCTTGCTTCTGGCTCTTCTAAAACTGTGCAAAAGTGAAAGAGAAAAAAAAAAAAAAAAACCCAAAAAACAAAAAGCAGCAACAACAAACAAAGCAAATCACAGCTATCCCTGAGGAGAACATTTTCCAAATCTTGCACCTAACTACCTTAATTAAAAATGGTTTTTCAAAGAACTTCTGAAAATACTCCTTTTAAGTGTGATTTTGTTGGCATGGCCTCCATCTTGTTTTGTAATTGCTGTGCATTATGACTTTCTCCAAAGAATGACGTGGGTCCCTGAATCTATAAACAGTTTATGAGAGCTGATCTTATGACACATGATGAAATGAACAGATACTTTGAGGAAAAAGAGTCACTAAAGAACC